TACCCAGACTCTACGGTTGAAAATGTATCTTTTTTGCATTTATTCAAACATGGTTTAAGTTAGGAGTCTGAAATCTGAGCAGGTATATCAGAAGTGGGTGCTGAGTCAGCGTTCCGACCGTCAGACCTCTACGTATTATCATTTTCAAATTATGCCAAAAAAGACATGAACATTTGTAGAATCGGAGCGATAAAATCTGCCATTTGCTTTTCCTCAATTATGCCCCCATCTTTGACCATACTGACACCTAAATCGGCACAGACAGTCTCCAGAGGGCCCTCTACCGATATCCATTGTTCGATTTTGAATCGGACCCTCAGGGGAGTTAATTGGCTGTCTGAAATGTAGTCCAAAAAATGGAGTATGGGTCCACATCCCTGAGAGCATCCTCCCTGTCAATTGAAAAATCCAATCCATTTTTTTCCCACACAGTTGTGACACCTGATTTGGAGATATGTTGTCAACGGTGGTAAGACGAGTCTGGGGATGTGTGTTATGTGCCCGCCGCACCTACGGTTTTCGATAGGCGGGGCTTCAAAGATTCGCCATCTTCAGGACTCATAGGCTCGTCAAAGGCTCAGATTTTGTCCGATTGTCTTGAAATTCACCGCACACTCGTCTGAATAGAGCCCGAAACAGATTCTGACATTTGGAGACCAACAGACTAACGGTAAGGTATTTGGCTTCCTATTGGTCGGAATGAGATGAAACCAAAACGTTTCAGTAGAACACAGTATGACGTTTGACACGTCCTAAAAGTAGGTGTGAAATGGTTTGAAATCATTCATAAAGGTTTCATCGATTCACAGAAGGGTCTTATATGAAGAAGGTGGGTTTTTTAATCCATTAAAACTGTAATATTGGTCTTGTTGGAGAGCTATAGCTGAAGTTCATCCATTTTTCTAACCCTTGCCTTTGAAGAACCCCCTTTCCTGACAAGACTCAGAATAATGAAAAGACAATAGAACTTTACTGTGGTAACAACCTATGGAAGTTCTGGTGCCACCGACATGTGATCAGGTCTCATTATGAAAGGACCTTCAAAGTGAAGTTGGGTCCTCTAACAATCATGTACTCCTATGTTGGGCTATTTGAAATGAATTACCCAGACTCTACGGTTGAAAATGTATCTTTTTTGCATTTATTCAAACATGGTTTAAGTTAGGAGTCTGAAATCTGAGCAGGTATATCAGAAGTGGGTGCTGAGTCAGCGTTCCGACCGTCAGACCTCTACGTATTATCATTTTCAAATTATGGCAAAAAAGACATGAACATTTGTAGAATCGGAGCGATAAAATCTGCCATTTGCTTTTCCTCAATTATGCCCCCATCTTTGACCCTACTGACACCTAAATCGGCACAGACAGTCTCCAGAGGGCCCTCTACCGATAACCATTGCTCGATTTTGAATCGGACCCTCAGGGGAGTTAATTGGCTGTCTGAAATGTAGTCCAAAAAATGGAGTATGGGTCCACATCCCTGAGAGCATCCTCCCTGTCAATTGAAAAATCCAATCCATTTTTTTCCCACACAGTTGTGACACCTGATTTGGAGATATGTTGTCAACGGTGGTAAGACGAGTCTGGGGATGTGTGTTATGTGCCTGCCGCACCTACGGTTTTCGATAGGCGGGGCTTCAAAGATTCGCCATCTTCAGGACTCATAGGCTCGTCAAAGGCTTAGATTTTGTCCGATTGTCTTGAAATTCACCACACACTCGTCTGAATAGAGCCCGAATCAGATTCTGACATTTGGAGACCAACAGACTAACGGTAAGGTATTTGGCTTCCTATTGGTCGGAATGAGATGAAACCAAAACGTTTCAGTAGAACACAGTATGACGTTTGACACGTCCTAAAAGTAGGTGTGAAATGGTTTGAAATCATTCATAAAGGTTTCATCGATTCACAGAAGGGTCTTATATGAAGAAGGTGGGTTTTTTAATCCATTAAAACTGTAATATTGGTCTTGTTGGAGAGCTATAGCTGAAGTTCATCCATTTTTCTAACCCTTGCCTTTGAAGAACCCCCTTTCCTGACAAGACTCAGAATAATGAAAAGACAATAGAACTTTACTGTGGTAACAACCTATGGAAGTTCTGGTGCCACCGACATGTGATCAGGTCTCATTATGAAAGGACCTTCAAAGGTGAAGTTGGGTCCTCTAACAACCATGTACTCCTATGTTGGGCTATTTGAAATGAATTACCCAGACTCTACGGTTGAAAATGTATCTTTTTTGCATTTATTCAAACATGGTTTAAGTTAGGAGTCTGAAATCTGAGCAGGTATATCAGAAGTGGGTGCTGAGTCAGCGTTCCGACCGTCAGACCTCTACGTATTATCATTTTCAAATTATGGCAAAAAAGACATGAACATTTGTAGAATCGGAGCGATAAAATCTGCCATTTGCTTTTCCTCAATTATGCCCCCATCTTTGACCCTACTGACACCTAAATCGGCACAGACAGTCTCCAGAGGGCCCTCTACCGATATCCATTGCTCGATTTTGAATCGGACCCTCAGGGGAGTTAATTGGCTGTCTGAAATGTAGTCCAAAAAATGGAGTATGGGTCCACATCCCTGAGAGCATCCACCCTGTCAATTGAAAAATCCAATCCATTTTTTTCCCACACAGTTGTGACACCTGATTTGGAGATATGTTGTCAACGGTGGTAAGACGAGTCTGGGGATGTGTGTTATGTGCCCGCCGCACCTACGGTTTTCGATAGGCGGGGCTTCAAAGATTCGCCATCTTCAGGACTCATAGGCTCGTCAAAGGCTCAGATGTTGTCCGATTGTCTTGAAATTCACCACACACTCGTCTGAATGGAGCCCGAATCAGATTCTGACATTTGGAGATTTTGGCAGGTTATGACCTGCCAAAATTGTGGAGCTCTAGCTATAACTTTGCGCAAAAGTGTGGGAATTAGAACTCGCCCCTATTTTTCCCGGTATCCCAGCGACACAGGCTATGACCTGTCCAAATTGTAGAGCTCTAGCTCTAACTTTGCGCAAAACTTGGGAATAAGAACTTGCCCTTCATTGAGCGTGTCCAGCTGGTGTCAGAGAGACCGCTGTGTGACTGGCGTCTCTCTAAAGTGTTGTGAAAAAAAGTAGTAGTGGTAGAGCAGTGCCACTCCTACCACTGGTTTGGGTTGGCAGGAGACCCAAAAACCCATTAAGTTAGCATTAGCATTAGCATTAGCATCACCACTGACATCACCATTAATATTAGCATTAGCATTAGCATTAGCATCACCACTGACATCACCATTAATATTAGCATTAGCATTAGCATTAGCATTAGCATTAGCATTAGCATTAGCATCACCATTAGCATTAGCATTAGCATCACCATTAGCATTAGCGTTAGCATCACCATTAGCATTGTCATTAGAAGTAGACTACTGTATCAGTTGTAGTAGTAATAGTAGTATCAGTCTCAAAACAAGAAAGTATGAAAGGTACTCAATCATTTTCAAATAAACTGATCACCTTTCGTACTGTTGCCAGCAAGTGCTGGGTCCCCCCCATTTTTAATAATAAATGTCAATGGCAGGATTTGAACCTGCGACCACTGGATCTCTAACCCATCACCTTAACCACTCGACCATCACAAGACCCCACTTTAATAACATTATGATTTGGGTGTCATGAATGGGATTTAGGCAGAACATTAAAGGGAAAGTATACCTAACAACATGGTGGTTTTCAAAGGTCAGAATCTGTTCCGAAGGTCGCACAGGCACAAACCACACCTCTACGGAATCGGCTCGGCCAGCTGAACGCAACAGTGTAAAGCTTTTGACCCTGCAATGTTCAGCCGCGGCGCTAGGGGGCGATGAATTTTTTTAAAAATGCGCCTCGTTAAGTCTAATTACTCGGCCAAACGAGGTCGTACAACGATAACGGAGGTGTCCTTGGAAAGCCCTAGATGTGACGAGTCACATATATGAGCTGCAGCAAGGTGGCGCTGTCCTCCAACCAAAATCAGGACTTTCCTGGATTTTCCTGGCCACCGAGACCCTCCTCTTTTACAAAGCGGGTGGCCGAGCCAGTTGAAACTTTGGATTAATGTTCAGCTTGTACGTAGAAGGGTGCGTACCAAGTTTCGAATAGTTTGGATGAAATTTGAACTTTTTACAAGCCTCCAAGCACTTTTTGGGCCTTCAAAAGCCTAACATTAAAGGGCAGGTGTACCAACATTTCAACTTTGGACTACCAGCCTCATTTTTGACTATGTTACACAGCAGGCTATTCTGAGCTCGAATATGTAGGCGCCCACTCAAACCAACCAATAGGAAGCAAAGTAGCCAACCGAGTGTCCGAGCGGGTTGAAACTTTAGATTCTCGGTCGGACGGGGTTGAAATGGGCGTGTGCCGAATTTGGACTCGTTTCCATTAAATTTGAAGCCGTGACGAGCTTAATTAGCGTGAGATTTTTTACCGAACGAAGGCCCGCCCACCGAGAACCGTAAGGCCCCCGGAGGTCTACCCTACACCGTTGGACTCGTCTCGTGGCCCTCTACCACATATCCAAAATTCAGGCGTCTAACCCCTTCGGAAGTCCGAGTGACCATTTCTGGACCAGAAGCTCAAGACGGTCTCAGGACCGTATACCCTTACCCTACCCTGAAAAGCTAGGCGATCAAAGGCCAAAACCTGTTCCGAAGGTCGCACAGGCACAAATCAGACCTCTACGGAACCGGCACGGCCAGCCGAACGCAACAGTGTACGGCTTTTGTCCCTGCCATGTTCCACCGCGGAGCTAGGGGGCGACAACCGTTTGAAACCGCTCCCCTCGTTAAGTGTTATAACTCGGCCAAACGAGGTCGTAGAGCGATGATAGCGGTATCGTTGGAAAGCCCTTCATGTGACGAGTCACATATATGAGCTGCAGCAAGGTCAGCCAAAATTCAAAATTCATTCACCGATTGTAGGGCCGTTTAAAAAGATACAAAGTTATTAGTATTTTCCCAAGTATCGCACCGACACATGCTATGACCTGTCCAAATTGTAGAGCTCTAGCTCTAACTTTGCAGTTGCAGTAGCAGGGCCCAACATGAGCATGTTGGACTTCAATGGGAGAATGGGTCTGACCTTGGGCCTTAATGGTGATAGTGGGTCTTCAGTAACTTGGTTCGAGGTAGCAGGGCCCAACATGAGCATGTTGGACTGTAATGGGAGAATGTGTCTGACCTTGGGCCTTAATGGTGATAGTGGGTCTTCAGTAACTTGGTTCCAGGTAGCAGGGCCCAACATGAGCATGTTGGACTGTAATGGGAGAATGTGTCTGACCTTGGGCCTTAATGGTGATAGTGGGTCTTCAGTAACTTGGTTCCAGGTAGCAGGGCCCAACATGAGCATGTTGGACTGTAATGGGAGAATGTGTCTGACCTTGGGCCTTAATGGTGATAGTGGGTCTTCAGTAACTTGGTTCCAGGTAGCAGGGCCCAACATGAGCATGTTGGACTTCAATGGGAGAATGGGTCTGACCTTGGGCCTTAATGGTGATAGTGGGTCTTCAGTAACTTGGTTCCAGGTAGCAGGGCCCAACATGAGCATGTTGGACTTCAATGGGAGAATGGGTCTGACCTTGGGCCTTAATGGTGATAGTGGGTCTTCAGTAACTTGGTTCCAGGTAGCAGGGCCCAACATGAGCATGTTGGACTTCAATGGGAGAATGGGTCTGACCTTGGGCCTTAATGGTGATAGTGGGTCTTCAGTAACTTGGTTCCAGGTAGCAGGGCCCAACATGAGCATGTTGGACTTCAATGGGAGAATGGGTCTGACCTTGGGCCTTAATGGTGATAGTGGGTCTTCAGTAACTTGGTTCCAGGTAGCAGGGCCCAACATGAGCATGTTGGACTTCAATGGGAGAATGGGTCTGACCTTGGGCCTTAATGGTGATAGTGGGTCTTCAGTAACTTTCATCTCGCATCACAGCTCGTCACACTTTCATCTCGCACCACAGCTCGTCACACTTTCATCTCAGTTTGAATGTGACAGGTGTTGGGTTAGGGTTAGAAGGGTAACACTGAGAAGTTTATCAAGTTTCTGAACTAGGTCAACCTTCACTCCTAGACTCAGATATAGGGTTTAACAAAAGGAGCCAAGGATCATAAGTCCACTGAAGCCTTTATTCCCTAACAACTATTCCCTGGTGACTGGTTAAGTTTTAGGTGTCTGAGTAAGATGGTTAAGGTTAGGATTAAGGGTGGGTTGGATATCAGTCTGTTGAGTAGAGTGGTTAAGGTTAGGGGAGTTGGATGGAAATAAGTCCTTAGGTGGTGACTGGTTAAGTTTTAGGTGTCTGAGTAAGATGGTTAAGGTTAGGATTAAGGGTGGGTTGGGCTTATTCTATGGTAGTGGCTGGTTAAGTTTAGGTAGTTGGTTTTAATGGATTGTTACTTCCGCTTCCCTCCCGATTCCGTATATGATCTAGTGCCTACCGGGATATTAGGTAGGTCCATAGTGAGAGACTGAGAGATATTAGGGAGCTCCATAGAAGGACCTTGTGTGGAGATATTGGGTCCTGAAAGTGGAACATACTGTGATATTGGATCATTTAAACAGCTCTTGTTTCCTTTATTATCACTGGCCAATATTAGTTATTTTGTGCACTAACCTTTACACATTGATGCAAAACAAGTCCACACATTTTGTTTGTTTGTATACTTTTTTTGAACAAAGGATTGGATTTTGTAAATTGTGAGGTTGACCTCTTTTCTTTGTTCAACTTTTTATTTTACAGGATGAGATCGTTCCTGCAAGACAAAGAACATCGTTGAGAGATTCCGTGGTGCATTTCCAGCCCAGAGCAATGAGAGTGTCCTTTGCAGATGCTGTGTGATTATTATTCACCAATAAAAAGCCTGAATTGAATGATAAAACCAGCCTGTTGTGCCGTCCCCATTTCTTGTTGTTACAGTCAATGAGCCATTTGGGCCTTATTGGTGATAGTGGGTCTTCAGTAACTTGGTTCGAGGTAGCAGGGCCCAACATGAGCATGTTGGACTTTAATGGGAGAATGGGTCTGACCTTGGGCCTTAATGGTGATAGTGGGTCTTCAGTAACTTGGTTCGAGGTAGCAGGGCCCAACATGAGCATGTTGGACTTCAATGGGAGAATGGGTCTGACCTTGGGCCTTAATGGTGATAGTGGGTCTTCAGTAACTTGGTTTGAGGTAGCAGGGCCCAACCTGAGCATGTTGGACTTCAATGGGAGAATGGGTCTGACCTTGGGCCTTAATGGTGATAGTGGGTCTTCAGTAACTTGGTTTGAGGTAGCAGGGCCCAACATGAGCATGTTGGACTGTAATGGGAGAATGGGTCTGACCTTGGGCCTTAATGGTGATAGTGGGTCTTCAGTAACTTGGTTCCAGGTAGCAGGGCCCAACATGAGCATGTTGGACTGTAATGGGAGAATGGGTCTGACCTTGGGCCTTAATGGTGATAGTGGGTCTTCAGTAACTTGGTTCCAGGTAGCAGGGCCCAACATGAGCATGTTGGACTGTAATGGGAGAATGGGTCTGACCTTGGGCCTTAATGGTGATAGTGGGTCTTCAGTAACTTGGTTCGAGGTAGCAGGGCCCAACATGAGCATGTTGGACTGTAATGGGAGAATGGGTCTGACCTTGGGCCTTAATGGTGATAGTGGGTCTTCAGTAACTTGGTTCCAGGTAGCAGAGCCCAACATGAGCATGTTGGACTTCAATGGGAGAATGGGTCTGACCTTGGGCCTTAATGGTGATAGTGGGTCTTCAGTAACTTGGTTCGAGGTAGCAGGGCCCAACATGAGCATGTTGGACTGTAATGGGAGAATGGGTCTGACCTTGGGCCTTAATGGTGATAGTGGGTCTTCAGTAACTTGGTTTGAGGTAGCAGGGCCCAACATGAGCATGTTGGACTTCAATGGGAGAATGGGTCTGACCTTGGGCCTTAATGGTGATAGTGGGTCGTCAGTAACTTGGTTTGAGGTAGCAGGGCCCAACATGAGCATGTTGGACTGTAATGGGAGAATGGGTCTGACCTTGGGCCTTAATGGTGATAGTGGGTCGTCAGTAACTTAGTTCAAGGTAGCAGGGCCCAACATGGCTATGTTGGGCTTTTTTCCTCTATCATTGGTCCCAAAGTCAAGTGCCCCCTATATTTTTTTTGGAACTGCATGCGTTTTATCTTTTTTATTAAACACTGTAGAGAGCTGGTTTTTTTAGCATATATGAACACAATATAGGAGATTTCAAAAAAGTGGTCGTTGGATTTTTAAAAATTCAGGAAAGATGTTTAAAAAATTATTTTTGTAAGTTGGGTTTTTCGACGCACTTTCTCCGTATTGTCCCCTGTTGGACCCTAATTAGGGTTAGGGTTAGGGTTAGGGTTAGGGTTAGGGTTAGGGTTAGGGTTAGGGTTAGGGTTAGGGTTAGGGTTAGGGTTAGGGTTAGGGTTAGGGTTAGGGTTAGGGTTAGGGTTAGGGTTAGGGTAGGGTTAGGGTTAGGGTTAGGGTTAGGGTTAGGGTTAGGGTTAGGGTTAGGGTTAGGGTTAGGGTTAGGGTTAGGGTTAGGGTTAGGGTTAGGGTTAGGGTTAGGGTTAGGGTTAGGGTTAGGGTTAGGGTTAGGGTTAGGGTTAGGGTTAGGGTTAGGGTTAGGGGAACTCACTGAGAAAGTGGGCTTTTTTCAATGGTCATACCAGTAAGATTGAGAGAAGACCCAACTTTAGGAATTCTCTGGGTTTTCCCATTCATTTGCATACTGGGAAATGGGATATTGGGTCACTTAAAAACTGGGATCTTGGGTTCAGAAATGGCCACAAGGGGGCATTATTTTAACCAAAATTAAAAGTCCCTGGAGGTCTCCAGGCCGGGTTTGGGGCCTCATTCCTGGGGAAGACACCTCCAGGGACCCCGCTGGTCCTGGAGGTCTTCAGGCCGGGTTTGAGGCCTCATTCCTGGGGTTGGGACCTCCAGGGACACCCCCCCTGGTCCCTGGAGGTCTCCAGGCCGGGTTTGGGGCCTCATTCCTGGGGTTGGGACCTCCAGGGACCCCGCCTGTCCTGGAAGTCTCCAGGCCAGGTTTGGGGCCCCATTCCTGGGGAAGATACCTCCAGGGACCCCGCTGGTCCTGGAGGTCTCCAGGCCGGGTTTGGGGCCTCATTCCTGGGGAAGATACCTCCAGGGACCCCGCTGGTCCTGGAGGTCTCCAGGCCGGGTTTGGGGCCTCATTCCTGGGGTTGGGACCTCCAGGGACCCCGCTGGTCCTGGGTTAGGGTTTTAACACTTAGCATTATTTACTTATATACTAGTACCAGGCCTTTCATTGCTGTATCCAGGCTGGGTTTGGGGCCTCATTCCTGGGGTTGGGACCTTCAGAGACACCCCCCTGGTCCTGGAGGTCTCCAGGCCGGGTTTGGGGCCTCATTCCTGGGGTTGGGACCTCCAGGGACACCCCCCCTAGTCCCTGGTCCCTGGAGGTCTCCAGACCGGGTTTGGGGCCTCATTCCTGGGGTTGGGACCTCCAGGGACCCCGCTGGTCCTGGAGGTCTCCAGGCCGGGTTTGGGGCCTCATTCCTGGGGTTGGGACCTCCAGAGACCCCGCTGGTCCTGGGTTAGGGTTTTAACACTTAGCATTATTTACTTATATACTAGTACCAGGCCTTTCATTGCTGTATCCAGGCTGGGTTTGGGGCCTCATTCCTGGGGTTGGGACCTTCAGGGACACCCCCCTGGTCCTGGAGGTCTCCAGGCCGGGTTTGGGGCCTCATTCCTGGGGTTGGGACCTCCAGGGACACCCCCCTGGTCCTGGAGGTCTCCAGGCCAGGTTTGGGGCTTCATTCCTGGGGAAGATACCTCCAGGGACCCCGCTGGTCCTGGAGGTTTCCAGGCCGGGTTTGGGGTCTCATTCCTGGGGTTGGGACCTCCAGGAACACCCCCCTGGTCCTGGAGGTCTCCAGGCCGGGTTTGGGGCCTCATTCCCGGGGAAGATACCTCCAGGGATCCCGCTGGTTCTGGAGGTCTCCAGGCCGGGTTTGGGGCCTCATTCCTGGGGTTGGGACCTCCAGAGACCCCGCTGGTCCTGGGTTAGGGTTTTAACACTTAGCATTATTTACTTATATACTAGTACCAGGCCTTTCATTGCTGTATCCAGGCTGGGTTTGGGGCCTCATTCCTGGGGTTGGGACCTTCAGGGACACCCCCCTGGTCCTGGAGGTCTCCAGGCCGGGTTTGGGGCCTCATTCCTGGGGTTGGGACCTCCAGGGACACCCCCCTGGTCCTGGAGGTCTCCAGGCCAGGTTTGGGGCTTCATTCCTGGGGAAGATACCTCCAGGGACCCCGCTGGTCCTGGAGGTCTCCAGGCCGGGTTTGGGGTCTCATTCCTGGGGTTGGGACCTCCAGGAACACCCCCCTGGTACTGGAGGTCTCCAGGCCGGGTTTGGGGTCTCATTCCCGGGGAAGATACCTCCAGGGACCCCGCTGGTCCTGGAGGTCTCCAGGCCGGGTTTGGGGTCTCATTCCTGGGGTTGGGACCTCCAGAAACACCCCCCTGGTCCTGGAGGTCTCCAGGCCGGGTTTGGGGCCTCATTCCCGGGGAAGATACCTCCAGGGATCCCGCTGGTCCTGGAGGTCTCCAGGCCGGGTTTGGGGCCTCATTCCTGGGGTTGGGACCTCCAGAGACCCCGCTGGTCCTGGGTTAGGGTTTTAACACTTAGCATTATTTACTTATATACTAGTACCAGGCCTTTCATTGCTGTATCCAGGCTGGGTTTGGGGCCTCATTCCTGGGGTTGGGACCTCCAGGGACACCCCCCCTGGTCCCTGGAGGTCTCCAGGCCGGGTTTGGGGCCTCATTCTTGGGGAAGATACCTCCAGGGACCCCGCTGGTCCTGGAGGTCTCTGAGACCCCCCAGAGGTCTGACGCCCGAGGCCGGTCCTCTGAGACCCGGCCCCGGACCTCTGAGACCCGGCCCCGGACCTCTGAGACCCGGCCCCGGACCTCTGAGACCCGGCCCCGGAGGTCTGAGATCCCCCGGAGGTCTGAGGCCCCAGGCCGGACCTCTGAGAGCCCCCGGAGGTCTGACACCGGAGCCCGGAGGTCCCAGAGCCCAGTATGGGGCCTCGTTCCCGGGTTGTTACACTCTCATTGACCCCCCTGGTTCAAGGGACCAGGAGCACTTGGAATTAGTATGAAACCCACTGGACCTGCCACTGCTATACAAAACCCACACCCCCTGGTCCCTGGAGGTCTCCAGGCCGGGTATGGGGCCTCATTCCCGGCTTGGGATACTCCCAGAGACCCCCCTGGTCCTATGGAGCCCGGGACCGGTCTGGTTCCCAGTGTAGTGCCCTGGTTCTGGGACCAGGAGCACTTGGAATTAGTATGAAACCCACTGGACCTGTCAATGCTATACAAAACCCACACCCCCTGGTCCCTGGAGGTCTCCAGGCCGGGCTTGGGGCCTCATTCTCGGCTTGGGATACCCCCAGAGACCACCCTGGTCCTCTGGAGCCCGGGACCGGTCTGGTTCCCAGTGTGGTACACTCAAAAGGCCACCAAAACCCCGGGTAATAGGGGCCCCGCCCGTGGTGTAGTGGCTAAGGTGATGGACCGGAGATCCAGCGTCGTGGGTTCGAATCCTGCCCGGGGACCATGCCTCTCACCTCCAGGGGGGTCCAGGGGGTCCAGGGAGGTCCAGCGGGTCCCTGGAGGTATCCAGCCCGGGTTTGGGGCCTCATTCCTGGGGTTGGGACCTCCAGAGACCCCGCTGGTCCTGGGTTAGGGTTTTAACACTTAGCATTATTTACTTATATACTAGTACCAGGCCTTTCATTGCTGTATCCAGCCCGGGCTTGGAGCCTCATTCCCGGCTTGGCATACCCCCAGAGACCCCCATGGTCCTCTGGAGCCCAGGACCGGTCTGGTTCCCAGAGTGGTACACTCAAAAGGCCACCAAAACCCCGGGTAATAGGGGGCCCCGCCCGTGGTGTAGTGGCTAAGGTGATGGACCGGAGATCCAGCGGCGTGGGTTCAAATCCTGCCCGGGGACCATGCCTCACACCTGGGTTGGGAACCTCCAGGGACCCCCGCTGTCAGAGAACCAGGGGGCATGGAGCTCTGAGCCGCACCCGGGGACCATGCCTCACACCCGGGTTGGGAACCTCCAGGGACCCCTGCTGTCAGAGAACCAGGCTCTCCCCTCGAACCTGCGTACCCACTATTAAGCCCCCCTCCTCGGACTAAACCCCTCCAGGCGCGCCGGTAAAAACTAAGTGTGCCTGGTACTACATTCAGAAGTTGACGTGCCTGGTACTACAAGTGAAACACTTAGTCAAATTTCAAACACTTAGAAAAAATTCAACAAATGAAACACTTAGTCACATTTCAAACACTTAGAAAAAATTCAACAAATGAAACACTTAGTCACATTTCAAACACTTAGAAAAAATTCAACAAATGAAACACTTAGTCACATTTCAAACACTTAGAAAAAATCCACTTTCTCATATTCCCCCATATAGGTCCCTTGGAAAACATGGTTTGACCTTTTTTTCAGCCCGGGAGTCCCGGGCTGAAACCCCCAGGCTCAAAAAGGTGAGGTCAAACCACCTTTTCCAAGGGACCTATATGGGGAATATGAGAGAGTGTGTCCAGGAGAACCAGGCGAACTACCCAAGGACAAGTAAGAGCCTCACCCACCCCAGGTGATAGGGGGCCCCGCCAGTGGTCGAGTGGTTAAGGTGATGGACTGGAGATCCGGCTGGTGCAGGTTCGATTCCTGCCCGGGTCATGCGCATGAATTAACCCAGGTTTGATGCCTGCTTCCCTGGTTATACATTTACTGGGGCTCCCTGGTCCTGGTGGTCGGGACAAATGAAACACTGGGGTCCCACTGGTCCTGGAGGTCGGGACCCCAGTTTGAGGCCTCATTCCCCGGTATTTCTGGACCCACTCTCTCTTCCAGGACCTCCAATAGTCCCAGAGTTGGTCCAGGGGAATTACCACAGGTCTCCCCCAGGAAAGAGCCTCAAAAGTCGGGTTGGGTACACTCAAAAGGCCACCAAAGACCCGGTAATAGGGGGCCCCGCGGGTGGTCGAGTGGTTACGGTGATGGACTGGAGATCCAGTAGGTGCAGGTTCGAATCCTGCCCCGGTCATAGGCGTCAATTAACCCAGGTTTGATGCCTCCTTCCTGGCTACATACATCCAGTGACACCCCCCCTGGTCCTGGAGGTCTGGGACCCAGGTTTGATGCCTCCTTCCCTGGCTATATACATCCAGTGTCTGGGACCCCAGCTTGAGGCCTCCTTCCCGGGTTGGAATATGAGAGAGTGGGCCCAGGAGAACCAGGGGAAAAACCACAGGTCTCCCCCAGGAAAGAGCCTCAAAAGTCGGGTTGGGTACACTCAAAAGGCCACCAAAGACCCGGTAATAGGGGGCCCCGCGGGTGGTCGAGTGGTTACGGTGATGGACTGGAGATCCAGTAGGTGCAGGTTCGAATCCTGCCCCGGTCATAGGCGTCAATTAACCCAGGTTTGATGCCTCCTTCCTGGCTACATACATCCAGTGACACCCCCCCTGGTCCTGGAGGTCTGGGACCCAGGTTTGATGCCTCCTTCCCTGGCTATATACATCCAGTGTCTGGGACCCCAGCTTGAGGCCTCCTTCCCGGGTTGGAATATGAGAGAGTGGGCCCAGGAGAACCAGGGGAAAAACCACAGGTCTCCCCCAGGAAAGAGCCTCAGAAGTCGGGTTGGGGACTTCCAGATACTCCCTGGTTCCTACATTGACCTCAAAGCGCCTATAAAGCGCGGGCCCCCGCTCGACCCCGCCCGTGGTCGAGTGGTTAAGGTGATGGACTGGAGCGCCAGCACTCCGGGTTCAAAACCCGGAGATACCATTGATGGACTTAGACAAATTTTCAAATCTGCTGCCAGAACCAGGCCTGTCATGGTTGTCCTGAAGCCCGGTTTGAGCCCTGATTCCCGGATTGGATACTTCCAGTGACCCCCCCTGGTTCTGGGACCGGTCCCAGAGGGGCCTGGATCCCGGCTGTGGATGCCTCACACCCGGGTTGGGGACCTCCATGGAGCTCTGAGCCGTACCCCAGAACCAGGCTCTCCCCTCGAACATGTGTACCCACTATTAAGCCCCCCTCCTCGGACTAAACCCCTCCAGGCGGCCCGGTAAAAACTAAGTGTGCCTGGTACTACGTTCAGAAGTTTGCGTGTCTGATACTACAAGCGAAACACTTAGAAAAAATTCAACACATGAAACACTTAGACATTTTTCTGAATTATTGAATTTTGACTAAGTGTCAGCCCGGGAGTCCTGGGCTGAAACCCCCGGGCTCACGCTGCTGCCCAAAAAGGTGAGGTCAAACCAGGTTGTCCAAGGGACCTATATGGGGAATATAGGGAGCGGGTGGTCCAGGACAACCAGGGGAATTACCATGGGTGTCCCCCAGGAAAGAGCCCCAGAAGTCGGGTTGGGGACTTCCAGAGACCGTCCTATCAAACGATCGAAATCTGCCTCTTGTGGAGGCGAAGCAGGACGAGGCAAGACGAGGCAACACGAGGCCCTTGTAAGGGCCGTGAAGGCCATAGTCGACAAGTACCGTAAGGGAACTGGGTGTCATTAACCCAGGTTGGAGGCCTCCTTCCCTGGCTAAATACCTCCAGTGACACCCCCCTCCCCCCTGGTCCTGGAGGTCTGGGATCCCAGTTGGAGGCCTCCTTCCCGGGTTGGAGACCTCCAGTAGTCCTAGGTAATAACTCAAAGTAACCCTACCTACTCATTCCTGGGTTTTGACACCTCCAGGACCCCTGGAGGTCTGGTAGCCCAGGACAGGGCCTCATTCCTGGGTAAGGTACCTCCATGATGGCCCTGCCAGTAGTCCAGTGGTTAAGCTGACTGACCAGAGATCCAAGGGTTGGTGGATCGAAGCCCAGGCCAGCAACAAGTGTGGTCCCTCATGGTACTTGTCGACTATGGCCTTCACAGCCCTCCGGTCTTAGAGGTCTCAGGGGTCTGGCTGGTCACAGCTCACAGGCAGAGCTCACAGGCAGATTTCGATCGTTCGATCCGGGTCACTGGGGGGCCACCTTTTTCGCTTTTTGGGCTGCTTCATGAGGCCTCACTCCTGGGTAAGGTACCTCCATAATGGCCCTGGAAGACCTGTATCACAGGGCCCTGCCAGTAGTCCAGTGGTCAAGGTGACTGACCAGAGATCCGAGGGTTGGTGGATCGAAGCCCAGGCCTCACGGTACTTGTCGACTATGGCCTTCACAGCCCTCCGGGACCAGTGGTCTTGAATTCTGGGAGATCTCCTTGTCATCCTCATCTCCACTTGTGGCGGGTTTCGATCGTTTGATGGGACGGTCACTGGGGGGCCACCTTTTTCGCTTTTTGGGCTGCTTCATGAGGCCTCATTCCTGGGTTGAGACCTCCGGGGACCTCCAGTGACACCCCATGGTCCCTTGAGGTCTTCAGGCCGGGTTTGGGGCCTCATTCCTGGGGTTGGAATAATCTCAGAGACCCCCCCTGGTTCTGAGACCGGTGACACTTAGAAAAAAACATGATATCTACTGGTTCTGGGACCGGTCCTCCCGGAGGTCCCAGAGCCGAGTATGGGGCCTCATTCCTGGGGTTGGGATAACCTCAGAGACCCCCCCTTGGTTCTCAGACCGGTGACACTTAGAAAAATACATGATATCTACTGGTTCTGGGACCGGACCTCCCGGAGGTCCCAGAGCCCAGTATGGGGCCTCATTCCCGGCTTGGGATGACCTCAGAGACCCCCCCCTTGGTTCTCAGACCGGTGACACTTAGAAAAAAACATGATATCAACTGGTTCTGGGACCGGTCCTCCCGGAGGTCCCAGAGCCCAGTATGGGGCCTCATTCCTGGGGTTGGGATAACCTCAGAGACCCCCCCTTGGTTCTCAGACCGGTGACACTTAGAAAAATACATGATATCTACTGGTTCTGGGACCGGTCCTCCCGGAGGTCCCAGAGCCCAGTATGGGGCCTCATTCCCGGCTTGGGATGACCTCAGAGACCCCCCCCTTGGTTCTCAGACCGGTGACACTTAGAAAAATACATGATATCTACTGGTTCTGGGACCGGTCCTCCCGGAGGTCCCAGAGCCCAGTATGGGGCCTGGATCCTGGCTTGGGATACTCAGAGAGATGCCTGGTACTACAAGTCAAACACTCCGGTCCTCCCGGAGGTCCCAGAGCCCAGTATGGGGCCTCATTCCTGGGAAGGATTCATCCAGAAACCCCCCTGGTCCTGGGACCGGTCCAGGACCTCTGAGACCCGGCACCAGGCCTCTGAGTCCGGCCGCAGACCTCTGAGACCCCCCGGAGGTCTGAGACCGGAGGCCGGTCTCACTTAGTCAAAATTTCACTAAGTGTCTCACTTGTAGTACCAGGCACACCTCTGAGACCCGGCACCGGACCTCTGAGTCCGGCCACGGACCTCTAAGACCCCCGGAGGTCTGAGACCGGAGGCCGGACCTCTGAGACCCGGCCCCAGGCCTCTGAGTCCGGCCGCAGACCTCTGAGACCCCCCGGAGGTCTGAGACCGGAGGCCGGTCTCACTTAGTCAAAATTTCACTAAGTGTCTCACTTGTAGTACCAGGCACACCTCTGAGACCCGGCACCGGACCTCTGAGTCCGGCCACGGACCTCTAAGACCCCCGGAGGTCTGAGACCGGAGGCCGGACCTCTGAGACCCGGCCCCAGGCCTCTGAGTCCGGCTGCAGACCTCTGAGACCCCCTGGAGGTCTGAGACCGGCCCCGGAGGTCTGAGACCCCTGGTCCTTGAGGTCTCCAGGCCGGGTTTGGGGCCTCATTCCTGGGGTTGGGACCTCCATGGACACCCCCCTGGTCCTTGAGGTCTCCAGGCCGGGTTTGGGGCCTCATTCCTGGGGTTGGGACCTCCAGGGACACCCCCCCTGGCCCTTGAGGCCTCCAGGCCGGGTTTGGGGCCTCATTCCTGGGGTTGGGACCTCCAGAGACACCCCCCCTAGTCCCTGGTCCCTGGAGGTCTCCAGACCGGGTTTGGGGCCTCAT